GAATGTTTAGTTGTGAAGTTAGGGCTGGCGGAGAAGAGATTTTAGACAAGCTAACACATAACACATAATTAGCCCCTTTTTACTCCTCTTTTTTCCTTCTCTTCCTACCTCTGAGAAACTGGGTTATTCGTATTTTCAAGGGGCCCAAAAAAAAAAAAAAAAAGAAAGTGGGGTTAAGGGCTGGAAGATTCCAGTCTGGTACTTCTTTTACTGCCCAGTTATGCTAGGTGGATCCAGAAGGTTATGGATATCAGTAACACTCCTCATGGATATGAGGTGACAACCACCGTGGTAGTCTTTTGGCACGGCTCACATGTCAAGGATTGAGAGAGATGTTCTAGAATGGTACAGTGTATAAAAGGGAGAAACCGCTGAGCCATCTAGGGATGAATCTCTCCAGACAGTGTTGATAAGATGGTGAGGACTGGAAAAAGGGTGAGGTGCTTCTGGGACTCTTCATACACTTACATTGCTGTGGAAGTGAACAGCAATGCTGGTACAGAAAGAACACCTCAGACCCTGAGAGGTCAGGAGTAGCGGAGGGACCATTAACCTCGCTTGCATTATATATCTCTGTAAGGATGCACAGGAAGAGGACGAAGATGGGAGGATGTTTCTATTTTTGTGCCTATGGAGTTTTGAACCATGTGACTATTTTTACATATTTTAAAAACTATTAAAAATTTAAAAATAAAAACAAAATTGTACCTAAATCTGGAAAAAAAAATCTCGAAATTAACATTCCTAGTCATAATACTAGGGTGCCACTTTGTGAGGACCTAGAATTTAAAAGCACAATAAAAACAAAAGTTAGATTTTCTTTTAACTGTGATATACACATTAATTCATACAATTTTCTAGTATGAAAATGTTTTTAGGAATGTATATATACAAGAATAGTTCAAGTTGTTAAATTAACTTTATTTTTACTTAATATAACAAATTAACAAATTTATTTTAATGTAATAAAAAGTTATAACTGATAAATTTACCATCTACATTTTAAAGGACTTCAACAATTACTTTAGTATAGCCAAAAATTTGAATTTTACCCATTTTTTAAATGTAACATCCATACTATGTATCTTACAATTTTAAACTTTTAGCCAAAATGTGAGTCTCTGCAGGTAAAACCAAGAGCTCTCCTATACTTAAGACAAAAAAAATGTATTACTAATAAAGTGCCCCTGGATTAGACAATGCCATTTCAACCATATCCTTTTTGGAAAGAAGGATGCAGTACACAATACTATAGAACTAATCGTTCACATTATACTAGAATAGAACTAGTAATTTGGATTATATTTTGCAACAAGCACACCAGGCTTATTTATAGTAGATATTCACCACAATAAAGAATTCCTCTCAAGAAAGATCACAACTATGACTTATGGAAAGCTGTACAGTCATCACTGAATATTGTTTAGCGACCAGAGTTTTTAAAAAAATGCAATCTTGAACTAAGATTAACCTAAGTCTACCAATACCAAGAAATAGTTGTAGGGACTTTATATAAACAAAAGCTTTCTTTCTATTGTAAAATAGGCTTCATCCTGTTCTAAGGAGAGAGGAATAGTGGTGGATGGTAAAGTTCGGCAACAAGTATGTTTCTGGTAGATGAAAGCCTGATATGCACTGCTACATGTATCTTTCACATAAGGAAAATGTGCTAATTAATGTATACAGCACTTTTCAGGCACTTGACCTCACTTGGAAGTTATGTTTACGGTCAGATGTTTATTTAAAGGAAAAACATTAAATTATATAGTGACTTCAAGCCACATTCCCACAGAACATCTGTGTACCGCAAGCTAAATCCAAATGTTCTCTACTAAAATCAAATAATGATGCCATACCCAATTCAGAGAAAAAAAAATTTAATAAAGTTAACAGATTGAATTTTCTCAATTTTAGGATTTTCCACAATAAATTTTTCTTAAGCCTTGGTTGCCTACTACTTGTTTGAATGCTAGGAGAAAAAAGGCTTGAAAAGTATGAAATATTATGTTTAAATAATATTAGAAGAACTTTAACTATTGGTCAGTTCAATATAATATACTGTTTATGGAAATATGTTTATTGTTTGCTCTTATACTGTTTAAGAGCCATATTTTTCCCATAGTAAATTTGTTCCTAGTTCATATTGTAGACTCCAATATGTGAACATTTTAATGTATTCCAAAGACCATTATTAATCTTTCATCTGTTGTCCCTAAATATGTTTGAACCACAATATCAATATCTGGCTCTTGAAACTATCTTTGGGGTCCATGCCAAAGGAATGTTGTCACATGCATCATTAAAGATAGGATTCTAAGGTAAAACTACCAAATTCTATTCTAAAATGAAAAAAAAAATGTGACAAGATTCCAGTGTAGCTGTTACCAATGTTCCCATTTTTTTCTTGAATATTTAGCATATAGTTCAAGTGTGTTGATATTAAAATTTTTTATCTGTATGTATCACTGTGTTACAATTGGGGAAAATTTTGCAATATACTTTCAGACAGTTAGCTTTAAAATAACGAAACTTCAGCTCTTAGCACAAACAGCCCTGAGAACAATGCATTCAAATTACAGATCAACTAGAAATAATCTAATTGAGAAACTTTAAAGTACAAAAACAAATTATTGGAAAGTTATAAATTAAAAGAAAATTCCCAACAATTGAGGCACTACCAGACTACAGTACTTTTAAGAGTTGGAAGAACCTTGTAAAAAGAATAAACATACAAAGCTATGTATGCACATGCACACTCACATTGTGCTAAAATGAAAATCGTGTCCCCAAATTATATAGCCTAAACATTTTATTGCAGCATCTCCTATTAAAGATACAATGCTCTGGCTGCAGGAAAGTTTTGGTAATTCTTATAAAGCACTGATACAGAATTTTGTACCATAAATGGTAATGGATTCAAGAGCTTCATTAGCAACAATTTCAAGTGACTGACAGCCCTTGGAGGGGAGCATGAACACAAATCATAATTATGTTTATGATATAAATGCTAAGTCAAAGTAGCTATTTGATCAATTTCAGAGGGTATATACTTTGTAGTAGCAAATAAGGTATAATAAAGTTTTCATAGTATAAATAAAATGTTGTTCTAGAAAGAAGCTATTTTCCCATTGTTAATATAATACTATATATAAATTGGTGAAATGCCTGCAGACAAAAAAGGTGGATCACTGTATAACCTTATCAACATGATAGTCTACATTCTATACATGGTAACTTGTGATATTTAACATTTGCTATAAAAAAGGTACAACAAATACTAGCAATCAACTTTTAACATTTCTGATGTCAAAAAGAATGAAATTACTTGTTTTATGTCAAAAAGTTTCTCTGCTTCCTTTGAATACAACTTATAAAGCTTTACTAAATGAAATATTTTGTTCTAGAGAAATATGTATACTGACTTATGTGAAATGTCCAAATCTTTAAAATCTATACTTATAATTATACATCAAAGAGTATCTACACTTCATTATAGTACTTAAAATGAAATATTTATGCATGAATAACTTTTGACATTCAAGGTGTGAAGATGGAGATGCCTTATTATAATTTTATAGGCTAACCTCAAAATTGAAAATGTATTTTATGTGAAGTTTGACAAGTTAGGAATAAAATGGGCATGCTAATCCAGAATTAATACTAAACCAGAACACTAGTATGGTTAACTGGGGTCATACAAATGACCAGCAAGCAGCACAGATTGATAACTTTCTGGAATTCCTGTGGGTAATAATGCCATCCAGGAACAAGAAAGATATATATTACAGATTACTAAAAAACTAGAACAGTATATACTTAATGTAGATACTTAAATGCAATACTGGAAGAATTTAGCCTAATTCCTAATTGTGCTTTAGATGGGCAAAAGCTAAAATGTTACACTTAAAATGATTAACTACAACTTCAGTATTTCTTGTGCTTTAGAATTCTCCTTGTATTTCTTTTAAAGTATCTTGCTTCCTCTCCAATGGGTTTACTAAGACCAATACAAGATTTAAAAGTACGCACAAATGAAGTAACTAAAACTTTGAGATCTTTTCCTAATGCTATTTCCAGTCACTGATTTGATCAGCTATAGAGCCATACATGTTTTCTTCTAGATGACAGGAACAAAGGTCTTATAATAGAGATCAAACCATGATGAGAGTGGTCCCATAATCAGTCTTAGAGAATGTAAGTATTACTGAAATAATGGTTTTGCTCTATGTTTCATTCCAAGATCAAACCATGATGAGAGTGGTCCCATAATCAGTCTTAGAGAATGTAAGTATTACTGAAATAATGGTTTTGCTCTATGTTTCATTCCAAGATAATGATTGTTTTGCATCAAAGGTCATCATAAACCCTATGACAATGTCTAGAACTCTGGAAATAAGATATGATCCAAAAGAATAAACATAAATGTTAGCAGAATCACCTAAAACAGCTTTTAAAATAATTCAGTGTACAGAGTTCTTTCCTAGCCACCATATTTCACACCAGTAACTGAATTAAGTATATGACAATCAGAAGAAAATACACATATTTAAAATAAGTAAAATAATAATTATCACATTAAGTAATTTTTCTTCAATGATTCACTTTCATTTCACTTTAGAAAAAATGTACATTAACAAATGTTACAAATCAATTAAAATAAGAATTTCCAGTTTTTGTCTGACAAATAAATATTTTAATGTCAAAAAATCTACTTAAAAATGGTTGGAAAGGAGTGACTATTATAAATACCAACATTTATTCAACATATTTGAGAAAAAGCACTGCATACTATCCTGTAAAGCAGATCACTCCTTTAAATAACAGAGACAGAGAACAAAAGTAAAAAGCAAACACACAACTAGAAAGAAGCTTTCTATTTTTATGCTGATTACAAAGGCCTCAAATAAAAACTGTAGCTTTAACCAACTCCTTTTGCCATGTCCCTTGTGTCTTCTCCACAGTCTAAGTTGCCAAACAACAACCATTTCAATGCCTCTCTGTCAACCACAAGCAGATACCCAAAATCACCATATGTAAGGTTATATATTAAGTCCTCCAACAATTTGGCAAAGACTATAATGACCGAGGTAATACAGGTGGCTGCACATGGCTGCTAACTGACACTTTTTGGTAACATTTTTAAGGATTTGTGCTTGCCACACACAGCTGACTGTGATAATTCAATCTAACCTATCCGGTATTAAGTCTGAAATAAATACAGAGCAATTCAACTTAAATGTGGCACTTTAATAACACTGGATGCTACACTGTTTGATTTAAAACCCTGGTTTATTTATCATTTAAAATTCAGGAATGATTTGCTCAGACATATCACATCTGCTGAAGCTATCTTAATCTGTTTCTTGGACTCACATACTGAAAACCACAGGAAAGTTACAGGAAAGACACCAACAAAACTGTTTTAAAAAATTAAACATCTTGATTATTTTTTAAATTACCAATTGCCTGTAAAACTAACTTAGCACAATTTCAAAACAAATAAAAAAGAAATGAGGTTGCTTATGAAGGCCATAGCTTTGGTGACAACTTAGAACCAAACTTTAGATCTGTAGCTGATCCAGACCTAAAGAGTAGGCTCATGCCTGATGTTCCCATTTATTTGCAGGGCTTTATGGCTACAGCATATTCTTCACTCATTGCACACATGACAGACACCTAGGAGAAAAAATTGCAGACAATAAGTTACTTGGAAGGCAATACCTATATTTAATTCATCGTATACTGGATATTTATGGGTACTTTATACGTACTGACTTCGGATAGAGGTATTCCAAGACTAAATAATCCATTTTATTTACAGTTTTCCAAGTGGAATTTCTCAAATTGTGGTTTTTAAGACAACTTCCAGGGAACAAGAAGAATAAGAGCTGTAAATATTTCAGTACTTACTAGATGTTATAGTTCTAAAAGTTATAACAAAGGTAGACTAAATCACCTTTGCACTTTACTTTTCTCGAGAACAGCTCAGATGCTGATCTTCAAAGTTGGGGTGACAGTGTCTATGTAGCAAAAAATTGACTTTGATACTTTCTTCTCATAGGTCTTTACCTGAACATCTTCACCTGCATTGTATTTTCCTTCTATTTCTTTGCCTAGTTCACCTTCTGGCAGCTTAAGATCCTCACGAACTTCGCCAGTTTCTGTCAGCAAGGAAAGGTAACCATCCTGAATGCATATCAGCTATTAAAAGAAATTACATCATTTACACTCGTTAGGTTATCTAACTACTCCTTTGTAATAGGTATATAGCTAATCTGCAATCCACATAAATTTGTATAAGCAAATAGAAATATATTAATATATTTTTGGTGTTTAAAAATATAAACTAAATATAGACTAGTAGTATAAGTTCACTCTTCCTTGTACTTCCCACTCCCCCAAATCTCTGCATTATTAAACAGTTTAGTTAGGCTTCTTCATAGCATATATCCTGAAGCACTTACATTTATATATACAATACAAATAAAGTTGCTTTAAAAATAAAACATAAATGGGCTATTATAAGTATTTTTCAGCAAGTTATCTTCACTTAGTAATATGTTTTAGAAATCTTCCCAAACTGAAAAACATGGACCTACCTAAGTCTCTTTATTACTTCATAACTGCATTTAACCATTTTCCCATTAATGGGCATAAAAGTTATTTTCAGTTTTTACAATCACAAACAATACGTTTCATAATTTGATTATGAACAAAGTTTTAAGTGGAAAAATTTTGGTCTCCAGTTCACTGCTAACACCACTAGATTTTTTTAAAAGACAAACTCTAGTTTGTTGGTGACACTGAGGAAACAACTCAGCTGTCATTGTAACCTACAAAAAAGGCACAGTCTGAATTTTTTTAATTACAGGCATGAAGAAAACAGTCAGGCTGCACTCATTTGTTCTAAAAGCATGTTCACCATCAGTTGTGCTTAGAATTCTAACAGGTTTTATAAAAGGCAATTATTTAGAATACCAGATGCTAACATTGAAGTATACAATGGGAGTCAAAGACATGGCTCTTGATCCCCTTTAATCTCTATGATGTAACACAGGCATACCATACAGGTAGAGTTTCAAAGCTCTCCTCTATGGCACTACCAAATCTGGCTGTGTCTTATCACAGGAACCCCACCTACCACAGGAGATTTCAGTTTTTGAATATGTCTAAAAATCTCAAAAACAAAAACCTACCCTACAAAGAAACCACAAACATTTAAAATTCATTTTTACATCACTCATTTGTGAGGTGGTTTGGTAGAGCAATGGGGAGCAAGGACATTGAGGTAGAAGTTTAATTATTTTTGAGGTAAAATTGGTATATAATATTTGTTTCATAGTACAACATAATAATTTTATCTTTTTAAACACTACAAAGTGATCACCACACCAGGTCTAATTACCACCCATAACCATGCTTTGCCCACTCCCAGCCACTCCTTCCCCTCTGATAACCACGAATCTGGTCTCCATATCTCTGACTTTTGTTTTGTTTGTTCATTTTTTTTTGTATTCCACATGTAAGTGAAATCACATGGTTTCACTTAGCATAGTAGTTTCAAGGTGCATCCAGGTTGTCAGAAATGGCAAGGTTTTCCTTTTTATGGCTCAGTATTCCACTGTATACATTTCTTTTATCCATTCAGCCATCAATGGACACTTAGGTTGCTTCTACATATTGGCTATTGTAAGTAATGCTGCTGTGAACATTGGGGTGCATACATCTTTTCAAATTAGTGTTTTGTTTTCTTTGTATAAATACCCAGGGAGGCATAGCTGGATCATATGGTAGTTCTACTTTCATTTTTTTGAGAAACTTCCACACTGCTTTCCATAGTGGCTGCACCAATTTATATTCCCACCAGCATATATGAGGGCTCCCTTTTCTTCACATCCTTTCCAACATTTATTATTTTTTTTGTTTTTCTGTTAACAGCCATTCTAACAGGTGTGAGGTGATATCTCACTGTGGTTTTGATTTGCATTTCCCTGATAATTAGTAATTTGAATAATTTTGCATGTGCCTGTTGGCAATCTATATGTCTGCCCATTTTTTAATTGTACTGTTTGTTTTTGCTTTTGAGTTGTGTTCCTTAGATATTTTGGATATTAACCCCTTATCGGATATGATTTGCAAGTATTTTCTCCCATTCAGTAGTCTGATTTTTCATCGTGATTATTTCCTTTGCCATGCAAGAGTTTTTTAGTTTGATGTAGTCCCACTTGTATATATTTGCTTTTGTTCCCTTTATTTTGGATTCAGATCAAAAATTTAACACCAAGACCAATGTCAAGAAGCTTACTGCCTTTGTCTCCTTCTAGGAGTTTTACAATTTCAGGGCTTACATTGAAGTCTTTAATCCATTTTGAGTTAATTTTTATGTATGGTATAAGATAGTGGCCTATTTTCATTCTTTGCATGTGGCTGCCCAGTCTTCCCAAAACTATTGTGTAATTTTAAACAATTAACCACAGGCTTACATGGCAGATCTTTTTGATTTCAGCTTTCTTAGCAATTCCTTGAAGTGGAACTTATCTATTTAAAGAGTTAAAGGTTCCTTAGTAACTGAAATATAGGAGCCAAATAATGCTGATATTTTGATACTTACTTATATAATGGTGGTATATTTTTAAGAGTTAAGAATTTATAAAATAAACTAAGGGATGAAATATAAAGTATTCCAAATATAAAAATGTATAGACATATTATGAAACATGTAGTAAAATGATATATTTGTAAACATTAATTATCTGATTAACATAAATTGCTATATGGAGTAAAATTTTGAATTAAAAAAATTAAACTACAGAAAACAAAAGTAAATAATGAAAATGAATTATTGGATCTTAAGTAATTTATTTAAAAAATCTTCAGATGTACAGAAAAGTTGCACAAGTAATGCAATGCAATCCCATACATTTTATCTAGATTAATTTTAGATTCATTGTTAACATTTAACCATATGGCCATTTGTTTTCTCTTGCTCTCTGTATATTTGAAATACACAAAACACATTTCATATACATTCTTACTCTTTTCTTAGTTTTACTGAGCTATTTCAGAGTAAGTTTCAAACATAACTTTTTAGCAATAAATACTTCAGTGTATTTTTCCCAAGAACAAGGACATATTTGAATAACCACAGTTTATTTTTAAAAAATCAGAAAACACAATACTGTTAAAATATTATTCAATATATAGGTCCATATTTAAATTTGCCAATTGCCTGAATGTTGTTTTTGATAGCAACTTTTTCTTCACAACTCCAGGATTGTACCTTGTATTTATTTGGCTATGGACAGCTGAGTAAAGATCACCATAGTACAATATATATAACTGGAAAGGTTCCATAGAACTATATATTTTTTAAATAAACAAAAATAAATATTCTATGGTGACTTGAGAATGAAGGGATATGATCATTGAGTACTTACTCTGCAAAACACTGTTCTAAGTATTAACAAATTAAACCTTACAATGATCCCATGAGGAGTTTATTATTATTATTATATCTTATTTATTTTATACTGTTATATCTTATTTTATAAATAAAGGAAGGAAGGAGAAAGGGTAAGTAACTTGTCAACCAAAGTCACACAGTTAGTAAATGCCAAAGCAAGGATTTGGACCCAGACTGTCTGGCTTGACTCATTCTCTTATCCCCTCCGGAGTACCGAACTACAGCTGGAACGAAGTCTGAAACTAGAGTGAGGCAAGGGAGGCACTGGGTACAAAATTAAAGGCATAGACAAAACTCATCAGTGATCAGATAAATATTGCAAAATTAGAATTAATATAAATACTCCATGATGAAAAAAGTAAAAATATTAAATAAAGACAGGATCAGAATTACTGATTTTTCCTTTTTTGTCTTAGGCTCTTATGTGCCCCTGCATCATCACTGGTCCTCTCTTTTTATTTTTTATTGCCTGGAAGCAAAGGCCTCCACACCTCATTCCCTTCACCCTAGTTGGGCCCTATTATATCCCCATATAAAACCCAAACCAAAACTTCCCTTTATGTTAAATCTTGCATTCCAATCAATGACTTACTAATTTGACAATAGTAGTAATTATCCAAACTACTGATACCATCTTTCTGAAACAAAGACAAAAGCATGCTACATTGAAAGCATATTAACAAATATAATTAATATTGAATATTCAAAGCATTCACATGTTAAGGATGTAAACAAATCCATTTTTGGCAAATGAAAATTCTATGCTTAGCTTTAGTGGGCTGCACTACCCTTACCTCAATTAATAAACACGTATGCATTTAACAAATGTTTATTGAGCACTCACTATATGCCATGTCTAAATTAAGTGCTCTAAGAATAATGGAATGATTAACGTAGAATTTTTATACAGGAAAACGTGGAGCAGGAAAGAACTACTTTTTGGTACATAGCTACTTATAAGGTAATTATAGAGAACATTTTCTCATTTAATCCTCACATTTTCCCTGCTTTAGAGATGGGAAGACTGAGACTCAGAGAGGTTGTGTAATTTGCTCAATGTCATCTAGCTAGAAAGAGGCAGAACTAGATCCAAACCCAGATCTACCTGAGTAAAAAAAAATTGCTATTTATTATACTAAGAAAAAACAAATTTCTATAGACTCCAAAGCAACCTAGGAAATATAAGTGGGAAAGTGAAAATATAAACAACTTACCAGACTAAAACTAATGTAAAAATATGTTTACATGTGGACAAAGAGTAAAAGGAAATAATTGGGTAATTGCAGTTGAGGGTAACATTTTTAAAAATTACACAATACGATAAAATGTATAAAAAAGAAATCAGTTTAAACTTGACAAAAACAACTCTAAATATCACACTTATATTTTTGACTATGTAACATGAACAGAAAAGAATCCTATATATGATAAATCCTATATATGCTTGATAAAGAAAATGAAGACTTTTAAGGAAGACTTTAGTTATGATTAATCTGAGCTCCTCTATCATATGAGGTCAACGGTTTCATAACCATCACTACTTCAAACAACAAAATGCTATCATTACATGACCTGTCCAAATGTATAACAGGAACTAAAATTTTAAGTTTATACCTATGACTTAATAAAAGGCCACAGCATGGTCACTGAATACAAACAAAACAATTAATATAGTTTTTGTATTTTCTTCACCATAGTAAGTGACCACATACTTTATTTTTATATTAATGGCTTTCAACTTATTTCCCTATTTAAGAATACCAAATTCTGACTCACAGTCATCAATATACAAACTTAGTTGGTGGAACATGAATTCCAACAACTTCTTGAAAGACTTAGGTCTGGTAAGTCAAAAGAAATGAAACATCCAGGAGGGAGTTATCTGAATCTGAAGTATTTTACAACAAAGAGAATCATAATTTTACTAACCACTGGACTTATTCAGTCACAATACACAGTAACTTGGTCTGAGAAACAATAAAAAAGCATTCAACTTTTTAAAAATGCAAGAATGTTCAAAAATAGCAAACTATACCCTACATAAGGTACAGGTGTTGAGTATCCTTATTTCTTCAATTTCTGAGGTAAGTGGTGCCTAGTAAGTGGTTAGAAAAACCTACAAAACTACTACCGGGTTTTGTTAAATTATAATTGATAGGAGAATATACCTGCACCTTTAAGAGACATGTAGCATTCTAAAGGAAATTCATACTTACTTGATAATCATTTCTCTTAATATTTGGAACATCCATGTTGTGAGTAGAAGGGCAAATATCTTCATATTTTTTGCCCGTGAAAATATCAATTCCAACAAGGTGAACCTAACAGAGAAGGGAGAACAGGAAACTTGTTTAATCTTTGCCAAGTATATCACTCATTACATACACAAGAGCACAATACCAACACTGATTATGACAGATTCTTTCTCCTTCCAAGGTCATCTAATTCTACTTAAAAAAAATGGTCTTGTCATAAAATTGAGAAGCAGTGAATAACTAAACAGTATCATCATGACATATCAAGACCCAGTATCACAAACAGTCCAGTAATTAAATTATAACAGTGCATAAGAAAACTGAAGCTAGGTTCCCTACAATTACTTTAGAACAGGTTTTCTCATCTGTATACTGACTAGACAGACCTTCGAAGTCACTGGGATTCAGGCAAGTTTTAGTGTCTGATTAATGAAACATTTTAAGAGCCCAAGAAAGAAATGCTACTTTTCAGTACTCAGAGTAATAGTTGATCACTCAGTTATTGTGGGACGAAAATGTTCTGTGATTGAATACAAATGATCAAAATTCCAACGAAAGGCAGACCTAGAAGGGCACTTACCTTGGCATGACCATGCTTTCCAGTTTTGGAAGTTGACATCTCCACTATTTTGCATGGTCGTCCTTTGAGCACCACGAAGCCGTTTTTGCGCAGGGCCGAGCACTGCATAGGGTAAGTACTGGAAGCCCCGGCATCTCCAGTAGTGAAATCAATTTCATCCGCCATGGTGGGCTGAAGAGATGGTAGCTTTTCCGAGGGAACTACGCAAAAAGTTTGTTTGCTTTTTAACAACTGGCAAGCAGGCAGAGAAATATCTTATTTCGGACAGGTTACGTGCCAAGCATTATGGATCTATTATTTTTGCATATATGGAACATCCACCCAAGAATAGTGGGCACTTTCTAACTCCGGCCTCTACAAACTTTCCATCCATTGGTGGGGAGGTGGGGAGGAAAGTCGCAGAGGAGCTTGCTGGGGGTGGGGGATACCCACCCTGGCGGCAGGAAATCCCAGCCCTCCTCGTCCCACCGCAGGAGAGGCCGGCGACCTTCCAGCACCGCGTCGCGCCGCCCGGCCCTCCGCCGCCGCCCTGATCACTGCTGCGGGGGACCCAGCCCAGGCCGCTGGCGTCCGTTACGGATGGGGAAAAGAGGACACGGCCAGCAGCACCTGGCCCTCCGGCAACGGGCGCACACTCCGTCCCCTGGCCCGGGGAGCCGTGTCCCGGCCTCTCAGGCGCCCCCTTGTTCTGCCGGCATCCCTGGCCCGGCCCGGCCCGCACGGGCCTGCATCCTAACGGGTCCCGAGCTCGCCTCCGTTCTCCCATGCATCCTTCCTCCTTCCCTCGTTCAGGACATGGCTCCGGCCGCCTTTCCCGGCCCTGCCTCACTCCAGTCCCAGCCCCACCGTCTTCTCCCCATGTCTTCACCTTTCAGCAGGGAAAGAGCGGCTTTCGCCTACGTAACAGCGCCGGTCCCGTACAGCTGCAGCGGCGGCAGCGGTGGCGGCCGCAGCAGTTCCAAGAGACGGGGCGGGGCCGCCACATTTTCCACACCCCGGCTTCCCCGCCCTTTCCCGCCCCCATCACAGCCCAACTTCCGGGATAGGTCCCGGCGCGTCACAGGCACCGCCCTCTCAGGCTACCATTGGCTACAAGGCTCCCTAAGCCCCGCCCAGTCACGTGAAGAGCACCCTGGCAACCCCACGTGCTGCGGATTAGTGCACTTCCGGCGTGAAGACGACTTTGTGGAGCCCGGTTGCTGAGGGTAAACTTGCAGGCAAGGAAACTTGCCCCCTCAAACTTTTAGGTTTATTGGGCTTGGGTCCCAGTCGAAGTTAACCAGAACCAAACCTCGCACTCGGTGGTCTCTGACATCAGGTGTGTGGTGGTTGTCATGTGGCAGTTGTCAGAACTCTGGAGGCGTGCGAAATTGGTGGGTGTCCTGCGTAGCTGTGGAGGGAATTTTGGGTTCAATTTCTGGCCTAGCTTGCAGCCTCCCCTTGGTGCTGCAGCAAACCCGCTCTTGTTGCTCAAGGAAGAGCCCAAATACAGTATTTTGTTAATCAGCCCGTGGAGGACCCCGGCAACCCATGTTAAGACTGAGGCAGCGACTGCGCCTGGGTATCCCATCGGGTCCAGTAGCGCTCTCATGGGTGAGAACTCGGGGACATCTGCGAACTAAACAGCAGCGGTGATATGACCTAACTCAGTCTTCATGCCAGAGGTTGTTAAGCCGTTGAGGTGAATGGGTGACTGACCCCGACTACATTGTCCAGTCCAGGAAGCCGTTCTGCAAAACTCAGCTTTTCTTCCTTCTGGCACTGGCATTCCTTCGAGTTTGCAGGTATGTCTGTACCTCATTAAAATGGTTGGGTTGTCTTCAAAATCAGCCTGGAGCCAACAGAAACTTGCCTAGGATAGAGAACGAAGTTTCTTGAGATGTGCTCCCCCTTTCACTGTTTCATTTTACAACCCACCACATTCTCCTACATTGGAGAGGTGACCTCCATACCCGTTTAAGTGGCTGTGTGATTTTGTATTCTTGTCTCATGAATAAACCCCATTTCTCACTTTTCTCTATGACTTTATGGTTTACACAAATATTTCTCATATTGTACAGATACTCATGTTGTCTAATTTAACCTTTACAAAAATAAACAAATGAACTCTCATAAACTGAGTTCAGCCTCTTGCTGATGAGTGAAAGAACCAGATTAGACCCCTGGTTCATAAGACCACTCTGGTTTTCCTTACACCACCTAACTTGTCCCTGTCCATGTTAGAATGATTGCTAATATTTAAAGAGTATCTATTTAAGTAATAGTGCATTAAATGTTTTATGTGCATTATTCCATTCATCTGGAATATTGCTCTGTTTTTTTACAACCTAAAGTTTAAGTTAACGGTTTATACAAAGTAAAATTTACTCTCTTTGACTCTATGAGTTTTGAAAAACATAGCAGGTATGTAAATACCACTCTAATCAAGATGTAGAATATTTCCCTCACTCCAGAGGCTTCCTGGTGCCTCTTTGTTGGTAGTCCACTCCCTCCCTTCCCTAACACTGGCAACCATTAACAACTACATTTTTAATTGTGGGAAAAGGCAGAGAATAGTTAAGCAGTTTGCCCCCAATCCCAGAGCTAGCAAGTCATCTCGAGCCAAGATTGAACTCTAGGCAGTTTGGCTCCACAATCACTGCTTTAATTACCACCATACGCTGCATTCACATTAGATTTGGATTTGAATAAAATAATCTGTCTTCATTCATTCAACAAATTCAGTCAATTCTAGTGACGTGCATGGAACACTGAATCAGCAAATACTGAACCATTGCTCCTAAGGGAAATAAGAGTTCGGTTCCTTTTGGACTTAAGTCATTTTTTTTTGTCAATTGACTAATATGTAATCTTGTTTTATGTGTGTTTCTATTTCAAGAACTTTATTTAATATATATTGATACATTAACATTTAATTCACAGCCAACAGCATTGTAATTTAATCTCAAAGGAAGCTTACCTAACACATGTATTTTTTCTATAAGCTACATCACAGTGTTAGGAACACTAGCAACACTTAAGCAATATGGAGGCCATTTTAAACATCCACGTCACCAGCAAAAGTTACAAAAATGTGAAAAAGTGACAGTAATGGACTGTGAAAAAAAAAACACCACACTTATTTAGAGTTGAAACAAGAAGGTAGGAACATTGCCTTGTTTGACTTCAGCTAAGAAATGTACATCAAATCTTTCCCTGTTCTGTGCATGCACACAAATGACCCCAAAAGCCCCACTAGCATTGATTTTTGGGTTATAAGTAAATTTAACAAGTAGGCAAATTCACACTATGGAATCTGTGAATAATAAGGATTTCTATTTTTATTTTAGCACACTTAGGGCTGGAATTACCATGTTAACCAATGTTCGTTAGGTGCTTGCAATCTAGTACAGGATACAGTCTAACAATTTTAACAGATTAATAAATGCTGCTAAAGAAATAACCACTGTGTGCTGAAAATTTGTGTGTGTTTCTATTTCAAGAGGGCTCCTTCCCATTTAGATGTTGTCCAATTGAAATATAATGCAAGCCACCATGTAATTTTGAGTTTTCTTGTACCCACATTAAAAAATATGAAATTAATAGCAAAAATATATTTTATTTACTTTTATGTAGTACATCCAAAATATTTCACTTCTTACTAATAGAAAAATTATTAATAAGATAATTTTACTTTTTTATAGTAAACCTTCAAAATCTGATGTGGAGCATATCTCAATACAGATTAGTCACATTGCAAGTGCTCAATAGTTATGTATGACTGGTGGCTATTTGGCATTCCAGGTCTAGAAGATTTCGATATCTTAATTTGATATCTGAAGAATGAGCGGAAGTTAGCAATGAGGAGGGGTTTGGAAAAGGCATTTTAGGCAAATGGATTGGAGTTACAAAGGTCTGTAGGTGAGAGAACTGTGGCACTATCCTGGGCTGCTAATAGTTTATTGTGACTGGTGCATTCTGTAAAAAGACGTTGGTTAATTTGGATTTTCTCCCAAGGGCAATAGAGAAACATTGAAACAATACATATAAAAAAATTACAAGAATGTATTTTGTATTTAGAAGACAATTCTGGTTATGGAGAATTTTTTAGGGGGAGAAAATATTGGAAATTGGAAACCAATTAAGAATAGTTGGTGAACAAAGGTGGTGACTATGTAAAGAACATAGAGAAGACAGAGTCAAGAGCATTATGAGGGAAAATGGAGAGAATGTCATAATTAACTGATTTTAGGGGTCAAAATGGGAAAGGAGCCACAGGGTGTGAAGAGGAGAATAAAATCAAATTAAAACTGGGAAGATGGTACCATTGGTTGACAGAAAATGTAACAGAAAAAACAAGTTTCCAGGGAAAGTTGAGTTCACTTTTGGGTAGATCAAGTTTAAGGTTCCAATGGGAGAGAATTATATCTTAAATGAACATAGACATTTGTGAATCATCAGTGTATAAGTGGTGATTAAAGCTAAAGCAAGAGACTCACTTCATCTTTAAAGACACAAACAGACAAACGTGAAGGGATGAGAAAAGATATTAGTGCAAATAGAAACCAAAAGAAAGCTGGGTATCTATATTTATATGAGACAAGCTAGACTATAAGACAAAGACTGTAATAAGAGACAAAGTCAAATAATGACATGGGTCAATCCAAAAAGAGGATATAACATTTGTAAATACTTGTACATCCAACATATGTGCACTTATAAAGTAAATATTAACAGACCTAAAAGGAGAAATAGCAATATAATAATAGTGGGGGACTTGAATACCCCACTTTTAACAATGGATAGATAATCTAGATAGAAAATCAATAAGGAAGCATTGGACTTAAACTACACATTAGATCAGATTGACTTAGCAGACATTTACAAAACATCCTAACTAAAAGCAGCAGAAAACGCATTCTTCTCAAGTGCACATGTTCTATTCCCCAGGATAGATCATAAACTAAATCTAACAAGTCTTAAAAATCTAAGATTGAAATCATATTAAGCATCTTTTCTGACCACAATGCTATGAAAATAGGGATCAATTATAAGAAGAAAGCTCAAAATTCACAAATATGTGGAGATTACACAATGTGCCACTGGAAAACCAATGGGTCAAGAATTCAAAAGAGAAATAAAAATGTATCTTGAGACAAATGAAAATGGAAACACAACATACTAAAACCAATGGGATGCCACAGAAATAGTTCTAAGAGGGACATTTACACCAATAAACACCTACACTAAAAAAAAAGTCTCAAATATCAACTTAACCCTACACCTTAAAAATCTGGGAAAAGGAGAACAAACTAAGCTTAAAGTTTGTAGAAGGAAGGAAATGACAAATGTTATAGTGGAAATAAATGAAATAGAGACTAGAAAGACAATAGAAAAGATAGATAATAATAAGGACCTTTTTTTAAAAAAAATAAACCACATAGACAAAAGAGAGGACCCAAATTAATAAAATTATAAATCATAGAGGAGAAATTACTGCTGATACCACAGAAACACAAAGAATCATGAGACTATTATGAACAATTTTACACCAACCAATTGGATAACAAATTACTAGTAAGGAGACTGAATAAGTAATCAAAAACTCTCAACCAAGAAAAGTCCAGGACAAAATGGCTTCACTAGTGAATTCTGCCAAACATTTAAAGGACAATTAATACCAATCTTTTCAAACATTTCCAAAAAATTGAAGAGGAGGGATTACTGCTAAGCTTATTTTATGACACCAGGATTACACTGATAACAAAACTAGACAAACACACTGTAAGAAGAGAAAATTATAGATCAATATCCCTGATGAACATAGGTGTAAAAATCCTCAACAAAGTATTAGCAAACAATTTAACAGTACATTAAAATGATTATATACTGTGATCAAGAAGGATTTATTCCAGGGATGCAAGGATTGTTCAACAACTGCTAACCAATGTGATATACTACATTTAAAAAAGGAAGAATAAAAATGTCATCTCGAGGTGCTAAAAAACCATTTGACAAAATTT